GGAATGATACTGGCTGCACGCTGTGTGACACAATAAAGCCCCCGGGGCCACAGATCACAGCTGTGCTACGACACCTCCAGAGTGCATCTTATGTAACATGGGAAGAGAATGTAATGAGGGGGGGAGGAGGAGGAGGAGGAGGAGGAGGAGGAGGAGAAAGAGGAGGTGTTTGCAATGTGGCCTGGGGAAAGGTTGGGGAGGAGAAAGGTCAGTCGAGATACGGAGTACGGAGTAAGTTCTATTTATAAAGCACGTTTCATACACAGAGGTAGATTTAAGGTGCTGAGTTATTATAGTTTAGTTTTTTTTATTTATATCACTAACTATCGGCCAATTTGTCCGATAATCGGTATCATTACTGTGGCTCTGATGCTGCCACCTCTCGATTTAAGGTTGAAGAAGTTCTCTTTTTGCAGCATTTAGTTAAATATATGCTTAAAGTTATCGGTTTCCTTGAACACTGATAGTTTAGTTTAGTTTCAGGGAAGAGACAGACCAGAGAAAAAGACAGAAAGCATCCAGAGTTAGGTTGTATAACAGAAGCCTTTCCCCCCGCTGCTGAAATAAATCCTACAGAAAGTCTTATTTGCTCTATTGATGCAAAGTGTTTCTTATCCGATTACTTGATCAATTGATGAAGTACTTGATTACTTCATTAATCTTTAGCTGCAGCCCTAGAAGCAACATTTCTCCTGATGTGAGGAAGACACTGTTACTGCACTTTACTGTTAATGTCACATTACCTTTAAAGCCTTTGTTCAAAGTGCCTCAGATGTTTCCTCCCACATTTTGAAGCAGTCTGTGTTTTATTGTCTTGCTCGAGGATACGAGCCCTCCGCTACCACCTGAGCTACAGCTTGACATTTGCCAGTGGTGCTATCTCTATGCAACAGGTTTGTTTCTGCTGGAGCTACTCGCATCTATGAGGCACAAAGTTCACTGCACAAAATACCGCCAATTATTGTCAGTTCATGGTGCATTATATTTGTTGCTGTCTTAGACACACAGCGAAACATTTTCTTCTTGTTTGAGAGCGACAAAGAGAACCGAGTTACGTTTATACTGTGTGTCCTGTGAATTGTGCACCAATTTCACACCAATATGACTCTGCAAAGGTACTCAGGAGGTCATTTTCTTAAACAAATGACTTTATTAAATAATATTTAAGTTAATTATTCTTCAACATGTTAAATAATTTAACATATAATTCCAGTTAACTCTGCTGAGAGCTGCTTCTCTCTCTCTCATGCTGCGCTCCCACCAAAGGCGAATAAAATAATTGAGCAAGTAGATTACAGTCAATGCAAATGGGGAGAACGCACTGAAGTGTGAATGAGGCGAATTTCGCGAGTTCTCGCCATTTGCGGCGCCCAGCGCTTTTAGCACATATTGTGGGGTGTTTGCAGTGTTGTGTGGGGAGGAGCAGAGAGACAGAGCTGCTGCCGGCCCACAGATGTTAACCAGCAAGAGGACAGCTCAGAGTTTATTTTTTAAACTTCATTCTCTCTCTTCGACCTGTCTGCTGCAAGCTCTATGATACTGCTTCATATCTATACAGAGACCGGACACTAAAGGAGAAAGTAAGAGAGGAAGTTGGACTGCCCGGCAAGAGCTGAAAACACGCGTCTGTTACGTGATTACAGAGCTAATTCGGTTGGTAAAACACAAACAGCGCCCTCTGCTGGATAAACTTTGCAGTGACACACACTTTTTCTACATTTTATACCCCCAAAAAAACATATCAAACCATACTGAATAACATATAAACCGATACCAATATGTCAGCCGATGTATCACTCTAGTGGCTTAACATGTATTTTTATAAGTAAGTACACAAGAGAGATGGTTTCCTGCTGCTAGTACACACTACAGATACAAGATGGGGTTTATAATGATTAAACCGAGTAAAGTACAGCCACAAATCGTGTGTTCGATATACTCATTAAACAGAAACTATTACTAGAACACAATATGGTAAATAAATAAATACACAGGTTTTTATCTGTTATTCTAATGCAGTGACTCAGACCTGGAACAAACATACACGGTTTGATTTTCCAGTAAAATTTAGATTCTATTGATTCCTTTTTTACGACTCGCAGCTGCAGGAGCAGGAGACTCAGCTCTCGTTTAAAAGATTCATTCAAACTGGCTTTCTTTTATTATTTTAATGGGATTTAATATTTGATTTAATTTAATTAAGGGCTGAATGTGTGTTGGTCATTACGTACTCTCATTCACGCAGCGCTGTGTGCTTCATAAATGTATTATATGTGTAAAGTGTGCAGTGCATGCAGGGGAAAACTGATAAATTCAGCTAATTACATTCCAGCAGAAATACCTCAGATCTTGCCTGTAGTGAAGATCTAGTTTAAAGCTTTTGCACACTGGTACCAATAAGCACTTTGATTTTATTATAATTATTATTATGTGTTGTTATTGTTGCTTATCACAGGGTGGGAGGATATTTGAGTCCCTGCAGGCCGTCGTGCTCTTGATTGAACACGACACTGTGAGGCCATCTGTGTTTGGATATGCAGGTCAGCAGGAGTCACACTTCTATTCGTTTATGTGTTTATGAACTGTGTCCAGTTTGTGTAGCCTGAGGCTAAAAGTAGCTACAGGAAAAACAAAAAAATCAGCTTACCTAGTTTTCAATTTAATTTAATATATTTTTTTATCAGTTTATTTTCATTTAATTTTAAAATTGATTTAATTTGCTTGCCTTTTAAAAAAAGGATATAATTTAACTACACTTGAAGGTCCAGTAGGATTTAGTGGCATCTGGTGGTGTCGTTGTAACTCCCTCGCCTCACCCTCCGCTTCCAAATGTGAAAGAGAATCTACGGTGGCCATAAAAAGTGTGAAAAATGCAGATAATAAAGATAAAAATGTCTCATAGTAAGGTAACAAAAACATTATTTACAGATGATTATTCACTAGAAAAAAATATACCTATGAATGTTATATTCCATTTCTGCCAATAGATCCTCCTAAATGTTACACACTGGGCCTTTAAATGTATAATTTAATTAATTATTTTTTTAATTCACTGTAATTTTAGTTATTTTAATGTTTTTCATTTAAATAATTTACATTTTAATTTCGCTTTTCTGTCAGAACTCAGACAACCAATTTTAGTTTTTCACCTGCCTGAACTTCTGTATACGATTCCTTCGACCTCGATGAATTCACTGCTATAACTTTGCAGCAGCTCCTCTCAGAGACTGTGAGCCTAGAGAATAAATGGTTTTAATATATATGGAATTGATACTGGCCACCTGACAAATGTTTGGAGTCTGTAATGAAACCTCAGGTGGAGAGATTCTCATTTTCTACTAATGCACTCCAGCACAGTGCTCTGAACCCTTTACTCAAAGCTCTGTGAACTTGTTTTTTTCAAGTCAGTCCTCGGGTTTAATAAATTTATGTGGACAATATCGACAATAATTTCACAAGTCAGCGACAACCAGCTTTGAACGAAGGATTTAACAGTTTCTTTAAGTGTATTTTTGATGGGAACAATTAACCTAAAGCAATTCTAATAACGACTCATTTAAACTGGTTTAATCTGTTTTATCACAATGATCTTGTAATTTGTTGACTTTAATTTGCTGTCTTGTGTGAAGTTACTTTGTAACTTGGTTTTTGAAAAGAAATAAATAAAGATTATTATCATTATTATTAGACAAGCACGTACCAGTTTTATCCAGTCTTGTCTCTTATAGAAATCATGTTTACACGCTGCTAATTTGGAGCCAAATTGTTAAGAAAATTCATAAATTCAAGGCAACAATCTTCACTAAATTCTTAAGTTTGAAGCCAAACTTTTCAGTTTTGAAATATACAAAAAAAAACAGAAACATTCTGACCTATAACCTTTTGGTAAGGTAATTTCTTCTTTAGAAAAACTTAAATCATCATTAATTATCATTAGTTTAAAACTTAAGATTTTGAGTTTGAAAAATGGAATATATTATTCATGTTTTTACTGGTATATAATCACATGAATATGGTAATCGTTGTGTTTTTGTTATCTTAGAATGCTAAATCCTACACACTGGACCCTTAAAGTCGGGACAGACAACCAACAATCAACCATCTTTTAGTCATCAATTGTGAGATGGATTTTTGGAGTACCCCTGATCAGTCATTCCCCGAGCCCTGTATGTACATATAAATGCCTTTTTTTGTCCTGTGAATAATCAAATTCTGACACACAGACGAGCACAGAAACACTCCCTTTACAAAAATAGGACCAACACATCAGGTGGAATCAAGTTCAGATTTATTTCGTCGACTTTAAATTCCGCCTCCTCAAAAATTCAAGGCGTCAAGCTTTGAGCAGAAAAAAAAAAGTACCTCGAGAAGTGCAGTCGTTCTCAGTGAGAAATTAGCCAAAGGTGTTAATACCCAGCTGTCGAACCTTTAAACCGTTTCTCATTTCTGTCGGCGACGAAGCAGCCAGACCTGACCACCTGCTTCCACCCAAACTAAACCTGACACAAGATAAAAATACCAAATCAGCCTGCAGAAACTCACACACCGCCCCTCAAACTCTCACAAAAACGTCACCTCACAACTTTTCTTCTCAAAGTCACACTGTTCTCCTCTCCTGTTACATCACCATCACACTTCCCTCTCAATGTCGCACCGTCCTCACCTCCTGATTCTCCTCCTGAACACCTCCGTGTCTGCCTCAATGCAGACAGGTAACACAGCGGAAAAGTCTGAAGAACCGGCCTCTGAGACCAACAGAGGTCAGGTGCTTTACAGCGGCTCCAACCATGACTCTGACTCGCAACGAAGAGTTGATTTGTAAAGTTCTACTTCCATTGTATCGTTTTTGTGAGGTTGGAAGAAATAAGAATTAAAATATAGATTTATTATTATTATTTAGTATTTAAATAACTTAATTAAGGTAATAAATATGCGTCTACTACAGCCTGTAATGTCTCTCCTTAGTATGAAAACTCTCAGAGAAGTGAACATGTACTCACCGCTGATCCAAGTGGCCTCGGGGTCATGAACGCTGAACTCCGGTTTGTACAGATCAGCCACAGTCAGCCTGGACCTGCTGTTGTCCGGGAGCTCCACTGGGGAAACACAGTCAAAACACAGCCTATTCTTACAGCTTTATCTCCAGAGAACAACGCTGGAGAGTAAAACGGCAGCACATACCGGGTGTGAGGACGACCACAGACATGGTGATGAGCGAGCAGACCACCACGATCACCAGCAGAGAGATGGCGATTCCCTTCCAGTTCCTCTGCGCGGGGCTGACGTCCACGAACTCCTGCACACACGCAGAAATAAACAACTTATTTATCATCGTTGCACCCATACCAGATCTTTGAACATGGTCAGCAAATGTTAGTGTGCAGACTAACTCGATACTAAACACAAAGCGAGAGAGACGATGCAGAATTTCAGTTTCAGTCGTCATTGTTTGAAGAAATGATGAAACTCAACACAGTGGCGTAGAAACACCAATGTCACTATAAATCAGCCTTTAGTCACTATGAGCATGTTAGCATTAGCTCACGAAGACCAAACATAACTGTAGACTCTTGGTCCTGTTTCTAATTTTTGTTTTTGTTTAATTTGGACTAAATAAAGGATGAAAATGTAATAAAAATAGGGATGCTCGATATCGGCTTTTCTGCCGATATCGGATATTCCGATATTGTCCAACTCTCAATTTCCGAATACCGATATCACCCGATACCGATATATGCAGGCTTTTTACACCAAAACTGTTAGATAACAACATAACAAATCTCCTATTGTGGAATTAACACATTATGCCTCATTTTATTGTGATGCCCCACTGGTAGGGTGGCCATTTCCTTTAAATCAAAAAGGAGGACACTTTGCTTACACAGGGACACGCAAGCAGATATTTGTTTGGTATGATCCGGTTTTAAATTTTAATGTTTTTCCACCAGATTACATAAGGTGCATACACATACCACATAGCTAATAATAAATATACAAGATACAGCTCATGACAACGTGCTCTTCCAATTCAGATTACATAGGTCTAATAAACATCATACAGAAACTGTTCTTAATGTTTTTATCTGGATAGATAAAGGGTATATACATTGAGTATGAGTTTTTCGAATTTCGCCAACAACCGACGTTAGCTCACGTTACGTTATCTGTCGCTGACAGCTTGACTGACAGCCTGGTGGTAACCTAGCAACCTAGCTCATTTGAATATTAAAATTAGCCTTGTGTTGAAAGGTCACGACATGAAAATGTAACCAATGAAATTACTTATTTTGACACACATTTTTAGCCAATAAGTATTAAACCAACGAGGTAATGTGTCAAAAGGCGAACCTTTTATTATTTTTTAAGTATGTAAAGCATTGACTTATTTATTCTTTTCTGTTTGGAGAGTGCTTTTTGTCTTTGTGGACTGATTACTGTAACTTTGTATTACTTCTCTTCATCATAACCAAATATTGCTGATTGATTTGGATTCCAGTGTCTTCTCTCCTGCCCTGACACAACAATATGGGAACAGTCTCTTCTCAAACTAACATATTAAACAAAAAGAAAGAAAGAAAAATAAAGGCCAACTTGATTTCTGAAAGGAAACATGAACTATTTCTAGTTGAAACTGTTATTTTTTGTTATTGTTTGAACACACGGTCATTTTAGGACAGACGATGTAAAACAGAACAAAATCTATTTCACCGATGATTCAAGAAGACTTGCTGGCATCCATCTCCAGCATCTGACTACAAGATGAATTGAATTTTGCAGTCCAGCTCCTCTAATAACTCGACAGTGAAAAGGAGACAGACTCTTATGAAGCTTTACGTTCATCCTGTCTAGACAGAGCGGTGATTACCCGCCCAAAAGAGCCATCAGAGTAAAGCTCTTTGTGCAGAAAAGAAAACAATTGGGCTTGACGTGAAAAATTTAATCTGAGGGTTTTGATTTTACAATTTCCAGCCTTTTAGATTACGCTCTTATCTGTACCAAAGGCAAGAGGTTTGCTTAAAGACTCCTGGACATCCAAAACTTTTTATTTGATGGCCTCTCTGACCCAGCTGCGGAGACGTTACATCATTTCTCTGGACTGATCTTTCCACTCTCACTTCAGGCTATGATGATGAAAGTTACCTGCAGCCAGGACTTGAAAATGAGAAAGAAAAGAGGAGAAAATGATGCAAGGGGGAGACTTCTGGTACATTCTCGGATGTGGCCAGAGAACGGGCGTGGGCGATTTCCAGCAACGACACAGCAGGGAACTGTAATAGGTAGCTGTCGCACGGTGTTGAATTCGCCGTTCTTCAAAGCTTGAGAGAACGACTGAGAGCTTCCTCAAGGAAGACAGCGTGAAACCTCAGACGAGTCAGACTAGATGCTGACTTTTCCAGCAGAACTACTTGTTTCCTCGTGTAAAACTTTGATCTAGAGAGGCGAGCAAGAAACACATAGGCTACTGTAGACCTTCAGTCTTTGGACCAGACAAAAACACAGAAAACTCTCCAATATGTCACTTGCTTTTAGACAACTGTCCCGCTTCAAACTAGCACTTAAGTATTCAGATACTTTTTGTTGATTCTGATGACCCCTGTGGAAAAAAGCGGTAGTGTTTCAACCACCTTGTGTCACTGATTTCAACGCAGGCATTAAGAATAACGATATAGAAAGGTCTTGTGCTTGTGTGGGTCATATAGAGGCGTATTAAGGCGTAAGTATTAAACTGAGACTGTTTCATAACCCCTTAAAAGCTTGTAGTAGGTTCAAGTACTAATACAACACTGTGGATATACTCCACTACCAGTTAAAGCTTTCAAAACCAAAGTATGTAAAGTCGCAAAATGTACCCATACATTGTAAGAAACTGGCAGCTTGTCAACGGCTGCAAAACATGGTCTCTGTCAGTCGTTTTACTTTATTGTATGTGGTGTTTTAAACTGTCCCCCACCTTAGTCACTCTGATATGGAAGAGAAAATTAAGGTGAAAAAGGTTAATTAATAGAAATATTATCAAAATTGCAATGTGGCTGAGTGCAATATCCAAATGGCAGATGTTGCAGTTTGTTGATGAAGGTAAAATATGAGACAAAACAGTGTGATAATGAAGTATTAAAGTGCTGTATGTATGTTTTATGTATCACAATCCCTGTAACATCCAACATTTTAACCCCTTAGTTTACATTTACAACACTACTATCCAGCTGTTGGGGGTTTAAACACAAACATTTATAGTGTTTTTGAGAATTAACAATTTCACAAAATAAAATATCGCGATACAATATTGTTCGATATTACATGTTATTTTCTACCATATCTGCAGCTCTAGTACAACGTAACCATAACTTAATGAAATAAAAGCCAAAACTACACAATTAAGATCCAAATTGTAAGCAAACTACATTAAAACCCATGAGTTTGACCACTAAAACACTTAAAAACATGTGACATTTCAATACTTTAAGTCCCCTTTCACTCAAAACATTTTTTTTTCTTATTCCTCTAGTTGAATGTTTGAGCTTCACTGTGCAGAATAATGTATGAATTTATACTTAAGTACATTTCCCCACTAATGAAAACTAAACATGGTCCGCAGCAACCGTAATATGCAGCAGATTCACTACAGTGTAGTTCTGCCTTCAGTGTAATCGAAGAATTATAATCAGAAAACCCTCCTGAATTAATTCATCTGAAGCCGAAGATAAGAGGCACCAATGTGTCCACAACAGTCTGTATCACATGTATCGCTGACGAGCTGGAAACTGTTTAATTAATGAAGCAGGAAAGACTGATGCTCTCTCTCTCTCTCTCTCTCTCTCTCTCTCTCTCTCTCTCTCTCTCTCACACACACACACACACACACACACACTCACACACACTCAGCAGTGAGAAGAGCATTCTTCGCACACCACTGGGCCATCGACTGCTCGCCGAGTATTAGTTCAACCTCTCTGAGCTAATTCTCTGCTTACTCTGTGTGTGTGTGTGTGTGTGTGTGTGTGTGTGTGTGTGTGTGTGTTTGTTTGTTAAGATGTGTGTGTGTGTGTGTGAGAGAGAGAGAGAGAGAGAGAGCGAGCTGTAGCAGATACAGTCCACTGCAACAGTCGTCTGTTGATCGGACTCACTTCAGTGGAAAGTAAAGCAAGCGAGGAAATCAAGTATGTGTGACGGTGTTCGTGTTTACAAGTGTGTGTGTGTGTGTGTGTGTGTGTGTGTTTGAGAGTGAGACAAAGCGAGAGTTAAAGGGATAAAGACAGAAATAGATCGACAAAAGGATGTCGATTTTTCAGAAAAAGCTCAAGTTTCAAGATACTTAACAGAAACTTCACATTAATACTCATTTACATAAAGATCACACAGATATAAGTATAAGTTACTTTTCATATTTATATTTTACACAAAAAAAACTATGATAAGCTTATTATATACCACACATTATTATGGAGGTTTAAACATTTTCATTTTCACACTTTTTAAGGATTTTAAGGTGGAAATGATATTGATATTAGACAAACATTATTGTTCCATGGGGACTATTTGCGCGTCGTTATACGCAGTAAACAGCCTGAATACTTCTTCCACAACTGGATTTAACCCATTTTTTTTTACAATATAACATCAGGCAGGCTGAGAAATGCAGCTGAAGCCTGCACGCTACTGACATTTTAACAAACATCCTCAAAGTCCAAAGAAACAAAGCAGAAAAGATCCCCAAAAAAAGAGCAAAAACATCCAAATCTCCACCTTAAAAGCACAGCCGTGACACAATCTGAACCAATTACAGCCCCAGAGGAAGAAAAGCAACAACAACGGGGACGTCTAACACTCAACCAATGAGGAAGAAACCAAATACAGACATTGAGACTGGTGGACCGAGACAAACCTGGCAACAGTGTCCCACTGCAACTGGATGTTCTTACCAAAATAAAATACCAAAGAGTTGTTTCCAGTATTTGGGACTATTTTTAATACTGATCTGTTTGTCCTATTTCTGTATCTCCTACTTTTTTTTGACTTATTTTAAACCCCATCTATATGGAAGCTGCACAAAGTGTCAAACATTGTTAATTATAATCCGGTTATATAGTTCTTCCTCTGTGGTGGATAACGACTTTATTTGAATCTCTGTTATGCAACTCGCCTCAGACAATATGAGATTACAGAGCTTCAGTTCTCACACAGACAGAATCAGCCACAACATCTTCCTGGAAGCAGAAATCTGATGGAAAAACCAGCTCACACAGATTAATTCATTCATCCATTCATTCATTCATTCATGCATCACTAATTCAGCAA